CTAATACAGCACTTGCTTTCATATTGATTTGGCAGCTTTTTGTTAACTTACAACCTCATTCAAATAAGGTGTAGTCTACAAGAGCTATGATCCCACTCCAGGCTGGTTGAAACAACAAAAAATATTGGAAGTGAAACCTTCTTTTCTCACTTCCCAGTTATAAACTAGGCTGCTAGGGAGAAAACAATTTCCTCAATTCAGCTCTCACAGTTGGGTTTATTATCTTCCAGCCAATGAAAACAAATAAATAAAATGTCCTAATATATAGGAAGTCAATTTAATGGAAGCCTGCTGAGACTAGCTTCCACAATTTACAAAGGAAAGTGAACACTGGCATTATTTAAGAGAGTGGGGCTAATTATTCTCTTGTTGTGTATTAACCTCTTCAGTTCTCAGCCCTTACTAACAAAAACCAAAAATAACAGACAACAGTCATCAGGGTGACTTTGAGGCCCTACATCCTATTGAAAATCAAGAGAGATTTAAGCCACTTAATTGCTTAGGCATTTTTCAAAATTATCCATTTTATTGGTTCAGAAATTAAGGCCAAGGTATTTGACTAGAGATTTAGGGTTTCTCAATTTGGGGATTCCCAACTTGAGATATTTTACAAGGAACTCTCAGTGGCCGTGCACATGCCTCCTTAAAATCAGGCCTCCTTAAAATGTCTCGGTTTAGTCAATCAAACCCTGTAGACACCCAAAAATCACTAGTCGCTTTTGAAAATCTTGATCTAAGGCTGTGTAATTTTTACCACACTACATACCTTCCTGCTTTCTACATGCCTCATCCCAATTACATTGAGCCTATTACGTCCTTTAAAAAATAATTAATTTGAATGGCTCGTTCCTGGAAGATGCTGGTTTGACAACAGGGGAGATGAAAGTTGCCATTATTTGCCTAGAATGGGGACAATGCAAATAGTGCTATAGGACAATCTTCCCCATAGAGTACCTCAACCTGTTCCTAGATATGCCTATCACCTTAGGAGCAGGTCTGCACTAGAAACACTAATACTCATATCACAGCAATAGAAAACAATGGAGTAGCTGCACTTGTACTAAGCCATTAACATAGGGTACATCTAGACTACAGGGTTTTGGCGACAGAAGCTTTGTCGACAGATAATGTCGACAAAGCTTCTGTCGACAAAGAGCGTCTAGACTACATTCAGTTCTGTCGACAAAGCAAGCTGCTTTGTCGACATAACAGTGTGGACGCAAAGGACAGTTTAGATGCAATAATGCCTTCTGTCAACAGAACTCTGTCGACAAAAGGAGTTATTCCTCGTAAAATGAGGTTTACCAGCGTCGACAAAACTGCTGAGTTCTGTCGACGTTATGTCGACAGAACTCAGCGGTAGTGTAGATGCAGGTTTAGTTTTGTCGACAAAAGTGGACTTTTGTTGACAAAACCCTGTAGTCTAGACACACCCATAGATAGGGCTCCAGTGATTTTACCAGATTTTCATGATGTGAACGAAAAAAACCGGAGACCTATCAACACTATCACTTGTTACTAGTGCTAAGGCAGCAGCTGCACCATTAATGAAAGTTGCACTCATTTTTCTAGTTAGAAAGGCCTGGTTGGGTGAGAAAACAATTTAGTGTCCATGCTTATCCTGGCTGAAACTGCTAACAAGTGGTATCTTTTGTAGTATGGACACCTTTACACTGAAAACAAAATAAAGGCCATCAAATTAATTTCCCAAATGTCTCCAAAGACTTATGAGAAGGTAACTTTCACAGGTCAGGTAGTCTCATGAAATGTTCATTTTCAAATCTCTGTTTAATTCCCATTAATAAATTCATTATTCAAAGAGGGCGAGGGATGAAAGATGTTAATATTGCTATTGGTTTGAGTGTTTTATTTATGCAGGACATTCTGTCCAAAGCTAAATTAAATATACATTTGAAAGATATATTTCCCATAAAGGTAACAGAATATATACAACCATTTACACAATCTCTGATCAACTTCTCATCTGAATATGCAATATATCACTTTTGTCATCCACTAAGAGGTCTGTTTTCAGCAGAGGGTACATTTGTAACATTATAGACGCAATGAACACGAAATTAAGGCGTACATATACTGCAGTTCAGGAATATTACAGGTTTTTTTATGCAGTTTTGCAAGCAGTTGCTGCTTTGTTAGTTTCAGGAAGTCACGTTTGCAGGACAATGAAAACCAAAAGGGAAAACAATGAAAAGGAAAATGTAGTTTAAAAAACAGGCAATTTGCTGGAACAAGATGTGATTCTGCATGGAATTGTGTTTCTATATTGTGACTGAACCCCTAGAACAAGCAACATCTGGGAGCCCTTTCTGCTTGTCTGATACAAAAAAGAGAGAGAGAAGGAGAGAGAGAGAGATTCATCCATTTGCAATGGTCAGTATTCACTTGTAATATTAATGAAATAGAACCACTCATGTGGGTGGATCATAGCCTAGGGCCTGTGCGTGGTATGATCAGCGATAATGGGAACGCCTTGTAAGGTGCAGAAGAATTAGATCTAAATGTCTCAGCACCTTGGTCCCAGGCTCAAGATAATCCTTCATCAAATTTAAGAGAAGGATTACTTAACATCTTTCATCAGTGATTGCTCTCCCTGGAGAGGTATCTCTAAGCTCTGGAAATTGAACCTTCCAGTGTCTTTTATCCAGGTTGGTGGCTGTTGTGTGAGCCCTGAGGGGGATGGATGGATGTTAACAGTGCCCAGAAACTCAGAGCCTCAGCCAGGTCATGAAGCACCATGCTGTAGGAGTGAAGGTTAATCAATATATACATGCAGCAGCTTTGTGGAATTGTACTTAGCCCATTTATTTCTGGCTTTTTCATTACATTTCATTCATTTGCCTGTCTCTTCTATCTGGATGAACCAGGACTTGGATTTTATTCAGGTAAATGGATTTCAGATAAACAAGGGACTTGTCACAGCAAATGGTACGTGTGGGTGGACATAACAATTACAGATAACAGATCTCCTTGAATCAGAGGGAGTTGGGTCTATAGGATTTTGCTGCAATGAAAAACAAATTTAAGTGAAAATACTTCCCAGTCACAGAAGAGATTCAAAGCGCTGTACAGTCAGGTTTGGAGAAAGACTCAGAAGTTCATATTCTTACCTACATTCCTCAACTGTTTTCCTTTTACCCTTCCAGGCCTAACCAAAACAGTCCCTCCTTCCCTGGTTCTAAGCTCCCTTTGTCTTGGATCCCAACTTCCTCTCTCTTACAACCTGAAGATTCCCTACATCTTTCCTGATACTAAATAGCTCTCCGATGTCCAACAGACCTTCTACTTTTTTTTAAGGTGTTCTTGGGGTTGAGGCTCTTTCTACAAGGGTCCAATCAGGTGTTATTTGAAATCTCACATGCATGTGAGGTTTTCCAGCATCAAGGGCTAACAAAGAGATTTTCTCTATGATAGCTGATCCCAGAGATTCATCACCAGCTTCTTTGCATTTCTATAATCCCTTAAAAAACAGCAATTGATCAAGCCTCGCAACACACCTATGAGGTAGATATTATTATCCCCATTTTGTAGATTAGGAAACCTAAGCACATGGGGTTAAGTGACTTGGCAAAGGCCATATACATGTAGCAGAGCCAGGAATAGAAACCAGGTCTGCCAATTCCAGATGATCTTTACTTTAATGGAAGATTTTGATCTCACAATGTTTAAATATCCTAACCCACCTCATCAGACCAGCAGAGATCCTGATATGTAACGGCAGAAGGCCTCTTGGGAATTGGAAGCAAGGGAGGAAGAGGGTACATAGCCAAAGATTTTTTAAACTAAAAAAGTTTCTATTTTGGTTTGATGTCCTGGCTCGCATTCAGACAAGCCCCTCAATCTATTGCTAATGATAATTTCCCTAGGAGTGTAGATATTTCTGTGTAGTTGTCTCTTCTGCTATAACTTGTCTGAGTACATGCAAATATGAAATTAAGTTTTAATCTGAAAATTCAATCTGAAAAATTCTACTGTTTATTACTGACTGAAAAGCAGGCAGTAAATATTAAATGTTGATGAAGTGAATAAGTGGAAAAAAATGGATATTCCTAGGTTTCCATTTTGAACGTAAAAACAGATATTAAAAATCCCTCATCAGAACTTATTTTATGATAGTTGCTTCCAAAGGTATATCAATAAATTATAAAGTCACCACCATTTCCCTGTTGCCTTTTCATTAGTAAATAGTATTGTTAGTTTCTTTTAAAGTTTTTGTTCCATAGTTCCTGTGATTGATCTGTCCCAGTTCTGCACATTTCATTGATAATGTAACCCTCACACAGTTCATTCATGAACCCCTAACCCTGGGCTTAACAGCCTCTCTATACATTGCAAGAATATGTTTTCGCACATGCATTTTATTTAATTATCGGGAACATTACATATCACAGATATATGCATCTTAAATGTAGAACATTAGGGCTCCTCTGTGTGTTTTTTTTAAACAATAGTGATGAGGCTTAGTATCAGAGGGTATGTTTACACTGCATTCCTCTTTCGAGAGAGGAATGCAAATGCAGTCAAGTGAAATTGCAAATGAAGCGCGGATTTGAATTTTCTGTGCTTCATTTGCATAATAGCGTCCGGGTGCTTTTTTGAAATACCCTATTTCAAAAGAAAAAACACAGTCTAGATGGGGTTATTTAAAAAAAACCCTTTCTTTTGAAATTACCCTTACTGCTTAAAAAATGAAGTTTAAGGGTTATATCGAAAGACGGGGTTTTTTCGAAATAATCCTGTCTAGACAGCGTTTTTTCTTTCTAAATGGGGTATTTTGAAAAATCTCTTCTTTTGAAATAACCCTTAAACCTCATTTTTAAGAAGTAAGGGTTTTTTCAAAAAAAGGTTTTTTTTCAAAATAACCCAATCTAGACTGAGTTTTTTCTTTTGAAATACGGTATTTCGAAAAAGAGCCCGAACGCCATTATGCAAATGAAGAATGGGAAATTCAAATCCGCGCTTCATTTGCAATTTTGCTCGGCTGCATTTGCATCCCTCTCTCGAAAGAGGAATGCAGTCTAGACATACCCTTAGACTTTATCTACCCAGAAAAGTTGTACAGCTTTAGCTAGATCAGAATATTTCACATGGTGCAATGTTCCTGGTGTGGATGCTGTTAGAACAGTATAGAAACGCTTATACCAGCATAGCATATTCCACCCATGTCTACACTAGAACCACTTACCTGTATAGGAATGCCAGTATACTATACAAACAAAGTAGCCTGGTCTATACTGAAAAATTATATCAGCAAAGCTATGTTTGCCCACCTGATGGACATCTCTATGGCAACATCATTCCAGTATAGATGCAGTTATGATGAGGAAAGAGAGATTCCACCAAGACAGATAATTATGCTCAGGCTAGGGTATTCACCTGGAGAGGGCAGGGTGGTGGGTTCTAGTCCCTCACACCCAGCGGGAGGCGAGATATAGAGCACCCTGAAAGCAAGGTGGTGGGGTGGATTCTGGCATGGCTGGGATTCCCTGAGGAGAGCAGGGTGGTGGGTTCTATTCCCTCATACCCACCCACCCAGGGAAAGGCGAGATGCAGTTATGATGAAGAAAGAGGGACTCCACCAACATAACTAATTCTGTTCCTACACCAACAGAAGTTCTGTCAACATAGCCTGTGTCTACATTACCATGGCTATGGTGGCACAGGAACATCAACAAAGCTCTACAAACATAGCCGCTGTAGTGTAACAATATCTCTGGTGTGGACGAAGCCATGCTAGCAATGCTGCGCTTTGTCCTGATATAGTAAAAGCATTCCCATTGGTGAAACAAGCTAGAGCTGTAAAAGCAAAGTGTCTGTATGGCTATATCCACTCTCAGAGCTTCTCCTGGACCAGCTATGTTGGTTAGGGATTCCACCTCTCCAAAAACTGGCATAGCTAAGGTGGCAGATGTCTATAGCATAGACACAGCTTTCTGTACAGGAATCAGAATAAATTCAATGGGTATAGTGACCCTTCTATTCATATAACTTGCTTCCACCTTTTTAATGATATCAGTGAATATTGTATCTCTAGATAGTAACACTAATATACAGAGTGTGTAGACCAGGCCATATAGCACATGACTCAAATGTTAATAACCAATTTGCTGAAAGTGTGAACTACAAAAATGAGTGAGAAGAAGATAACTTTTTTCTCTAGCAAGGCTGCACTTTTGCAACTTGGTAAAGAACAAAGTCAGGGGGAGGAAAGAAAAGCCAATACCAAAGACATCTGGGAGCAGCTTCATTTGTCTGATCTTTGGAGAAACTGATGAGATGCAAAATGGATCGAACAATGTAACTCAAGAAGTGGACAGCATTACTGCTTGGTCCGAAAGCTTGGTTTGGCAGTGGAGGTTCTTTCTGTTTTCATGGATTGTGCATAAAAGAAAATGACAAAGAATTTAGGCAAATGGCATTTACATAATGGATGAAATATCTGAAGTGCCAGGTGAAATTCTTCCTGCCTGCAGGCAGCATGTCACTTGGCTTCACCGTGAACTGCAAAAGTGGCCAGGCGTTTTCACCCTGCTTTTCTTACTGGTCAGAGTAGGAAGGTGCTGCGCTTGCGGTTTTCCTTTATTTCAGTTCAGTCACAAGATGGGTTCTGTGCCATTCCAGTCAATAGCAGCCCCTTTCCACCTACGGACAGAAGAGATAATTTTATTCTAATAGGTTAATGTTCTACCTGGAGTGGTGTCTTCCCAAAGAGTGAATAACTGGTGTGGGCCCATTAATGACAGCCACTCGCTTCATGTATTGCACAGGAATCTACTTCTCTGAAACAACTGCTTCAAGTGGACTCCACTGGCAAAGAGGGCCTCAAATTGAATTGGCCTGGAGGCTGAGCCATCTCTTACTTGATTTCTGACCTTAATATTCAAGTGTGTGACTTCAGAGGCACCTGAGGGAGTTAGGTTCCCAATTCTGATTTAATTTCAATGGGATTTAGCGCTGTCCCCACCCTTAGACTCCCTTTCAAATCCTAGTTTACAGTCTAAATCCCAGGCTTCTTAATTTGTTTTCTGGGGATAATATTACTAATCTTATTTAAACTTTGTTACGGCCAAGTATCAGATAAAACAAAGGGGACCACACTTGAAACCCCCTTATCTTCCTCCTCTACTGTCATTAGAGGCACACACTTAGACCAAATAGTTGTTCCTGTTATATACTGCTTTTTGCCCTGACCTGTCCCCGCCCCTGGGGAACAAAAAACGATCTGACATATCATCTTTCCTGCAGTCTCTTACGGAGCTCTATAACGATTAACTCTAAGCAACTATTACTGCTCTAAACTCACAAATGCCACTAGGCAATTAGCACATTCCTAAATAGACAGGCCTCTGCAGAGGTGATTTCTGCTTGTAAGCCTAAGTCTAAGAAAATATACAGGTTGCACCTCTAGAAACCGGAACTCTCTGATCAGGCAACATTGGATGTTCCAGGATCAGAGAGTCCCTGCACGCTGCTGGAGAATGGGGGTGAGGCAGGAGCTGGGCATTATGGCTGTGGGGGGGGGGAGGGAGGCAATGCGCGGCCAAGCTGGGCTGCAGGTGGGGAGTGGGAGCTCGGGCAGCTCAGCTGGGCTGGGGGGGAGGGAGGAGCCAGCATGCGGCTCTGCTGGGCTGCAGGATCTAGGAGCCAGCATGCAGTTCAGCTGGGCTGTGGGGGGAGGAGACCCTGCTGGAATGTGGGGAAGCCAGGAATCCCAGTGGTGGGGAGGCAGGACAGAGAGAGGCCAGCAGAAAGGGGGCCAGAAATGGCTTCCCATTACATCAAGCACATAGCTCCTATGTTAGTACAGCAATACATTAGAAAATGAGGGTCATAGTCAATTCTTCATCATTGACAATTTTTAAATCAGGCTTGGCTATTTCTCTAAGGCTATGTTTCCACAGTGGTGCTATTTTGGGATACTTCTGGTATCCCGAAATAGCTATTCCTTGTCTTTTGAACAAGCCCGCTATTTCTAAAAATCTTTCAAAATAACAGGTGCACTATTCCGATGTCCCTGTAAACCTCCTTCCATGAGGATTAAGCGACATTTTGGAATAGCAGTTTATTTTGAAATTCGGCACTGTGTAGACAGCGCCAAAATATGAAATAAGCTATTTCAAAATTCACTTGAAATAAGCTACTCAGTAGCTCAAATTGCATAGCTTATTTCAAACTAGGGGTGCACTGTAGACGCACCCTAATGGATCTGCTCCAGTATTATTTTGGGGAAGTTGCATGGCCTGTGATAAACAGAACGTCAAACTGGATTAACATAATGGTCGCTTCTGACCTTAGAATCCATTAATCACTTTCTGAACTTTTTGCAGTGATTCCAATATGCTCCATAAGACCTTCAAGAAAAATCAAAGTAGCTGGTGGCAAGAATATATTAGGGTATGTCTAGACTACATGCCTCTGACAACAGAGGCATATAGATTAGACTACCCGGCATAGGAAAATGAAGCGGCGATTTAAATAATCGACGCTTCATTTAAAGTTACATGGCTGCCGCGCTGAGCCAATCAGCTGTTTGTCGGCTCAGCGCAGTAGTCTGGACGCTCCACGGTCGACATCAAAGACATTTGTTGACCTCCCAGGTATGCCTCATCCCAGGACAAACAGCTGATCGGCTCAGCGCGGCAGCCATTTAAATTTAAATGAAGTGGTGATTATTTAAATCACCGCTTCATTTTCCTATGCCGGGTAGTCTAATCTATATGCCTCTGTTGTCAGAGGCATGTAGTCTAGACATACCCTAATATATTCTTGCCACCAGCTACTTTGATTTTTCTTGAAGGTCTTATGGAGCATATTGGAATCACTGCAAAAAGTTCAGAAAGTGATTAATGGATTCTAAGGTCAGAAGCGACCATTATGTTAATCCAGTTTGACGTTCTGTTTATCACAGGCCATGCAACTTCCCCAAAATAATACTGGAGCAGATCCATTAGGGTGCGTCTACAGTGCACCCCTAGTTTGAAATAAGCTATGCAATTTGAGCTACTGAGTAGCTTATTTCAAGTGAATTTTGAAATAGCTTATTTCATATTTTGGCGCTGTCTACACAGTGCCGAATTTCAAAATAAACTGCTATTCCAAAATGTCGCTTAATCCTCATGGAAGGAGGTTTACAGGGACATCGGAATAGTGCACCTGTTATTTTGAAAGATTTTTAGAAATAGCGGGCTTGTTCAAAAGACAAGGAATAGCTATTTCGGGATACCAGAAGTATCCCAAAATAGCACCACTGTGGAAACATAGCCTTAGAGAAATAGCCAAGCCTGATTTAAAAATTGTCAATGATGAAGAATTGACTATGACCCTCATTTTCTAATGTATTGCTGTACTAACATAGGAGCTATGTGCTTGATGTAACCCTTTTACTGCTGGTATAATTCCTTCTGAATAAACTTGCCATGCAGGTTTGAGTTAATTCTCTGATTTGAACTTTTCACTGACAGCAAACAGTAACCTGCTTTGTGGGGACACTTTATGGATGCTGGAGAGACTAGTGTGTGTAAGGGAGTGTGTGTGGGGGGGAGGGGCAGGAAATGGGACTAGAGAGAGGGGCAGAAACAGCACCCAACTATCCAACACTGGTTATGTTACATTGACAAATTTTTTTTTCTAATTGAGTCTTCAGCAAAAACATAAGTAGAAAAACATATTCTGTAGCAAAAGTCAGGGCAACTCGCATAACAACAGTGGTTTTCATTACTGATGTGCAGACCACTTCCCTCAAGCTATCTGTAGATGGAAAAAAATTCCTTTCTTGGTCACATCCCAAAAAAGCTTGGGTCGAATGGGATGTCAGCATTTTTCTGGCCAGGAGTGCACACGTGGTGTTGAACTGTCAGGTGTGACACAAGTTCTTCACTTACTGGCAGAAGAGTTCTGGCGTAGAGCAAGGATGGGCAATAATTTTCTCAGGGGGGCCAGTTCATGAATTTTGGTACGTGGTCACCCATAAGAACAGGTAGGGCCTTGGGCAGAAGGGACTGGGGCTTACAGAGAGAAAGAGAGTGTATGTGTGAGAGAGAGACACTCTGTGAGACAAACTTTGTGACACAGATCGAGTGTGCAGCACAGAGACCATGTGAACTGACTGCTGCTGGGTAAGTTTCTGAGAGAAGCCATGCGCTGTCTCGCACTATCCTGAGAGAGCGAGAAAGAGAGTCAGAGCAGGAGCGCTAATATCTTAGGGTATGTCTACACTACAGCATTAATTCGAACTAACTTAATTCGAATTAGTTAATTCGAACTAAGCTATTTCGAACTAGTGCATCTAGACCTAAAAACTAGTTCGAATTAGCATTTTGCTAATTCGAACTAGCATGTCCACATTGAGTGGATCCTGAACCGAGGTTAAGGATGGCCGGAAGCAGTGCCGGCAGGGCATCAGATTAGGACTTAGAGTGTGGAGCTGCTGTCTCAGGCTAGCCGA